AGACACGTATAAACATGTATCGCAACAGACCTTTTGTCACTTTAGGCTTTATCAGTCCTAATGACAAAGACAAAGCATTAGATTTATAAAGCCATAGTTGACGGAACGTCTCCTTTGATAAAGACATTAAGGTTACCAGCATTAAGAAGAAAACGTGTTATGGTTACCAGCATTAAGAAGAAAACGTGTTATGGCCACCAGCATTAAGAAGAAAACGTGTTATGGCCACCAGCATTAAGAAGAAAACGTGTTATGGCCACCAGCATTAAGAAGAAAACGTGTTATGGCCACCAGCATTAAGAAGAAAACGTGTTATGGCCACCAGCATTAAGAAGAAAACTTATGGCCACCAGCATTAAGAAGAAAACGTGTTATGGCCACCAGCATTAAGAAGAAAACGTGTTATGGCCACCAGCATTAAGAAGAAAACGTGTTATGGCCACCAGCATTAAGAATAAAACGTGTTATGGCCACCAGCATTAAGAAGAAAACGTGTTATGGCCACCAGCATTAAGAAGAAAACGTGTTATGGCCACCAGCATTAAGAAGAAAACATGTTATGGCCACCAGCATTAAGAAAACGTGTTATGGCCACCAGCATTAAGAAGAAAACGTGTTATGGCCACCAGCATTAAGAAAACGTGTTATGGCCACCAGCATTAAGAAGAAAAACGTGTTATGGCCACCGCATTAAGAAGAAAACGTGTTATGGCCACCAGCATTAAGAAGAAAAACGTGTTATGGCCACCAGCATTAAGAAGAGAAAACGTATTATGGCCACCAGCATTAAGAAGAAAAACGTGTTATGGCCACCAGCATTAAGAAGAAAACGTGTTATGGCCACCAGCATTAAGAAGAAAACGTGTTATGGCCACCAGCATTAAGAAGAAAACGTGTTATGGCCACCAGCATTAAGAGAAAACGTGTTATGGCCACCAGCATTAAGAAGAAAACGTGTTATGGCCACCAGCATTAAGAAGAAAACGTGTTATATGGCCACCAGCATTAAGAAGAAAAACGTGTTTATGGCCACCAGCATTAAGAAGAAAACGTGTTATGGCCACCAGCATTAAGAAGAAAACGTGTTATGGCCACCAGCATTAAGAAGAAAACGTGTTATGGCCACCAGCATTAAGAAGAAAACGTGTTATGGCCACCAGCATTAAGAAGAAAACGTGTTATGGCCACCAGCATTAAGAAGAAAACGTGTTATGGCCACCAGCATTAAGAAGAAAACGTGTTATGGCCACCAGCATTAAGAAGAAAACGTGTTATGGCCACCAGCATTAAGAAGAAAACGTGTTATGGCCACCAGCATTAAGAAGAAAACGTGTTATGGCCACCAGCATTAAGAAGAAAACGTGTTATGGCCACCAGCATTAAGAAGAAAACGTGTTATGGCCACCAGCATTAAGAAGAAAACGTGTTATGGCCACCAGCATTAAGAAGAAAACGTGTTATGGCCACCAGCATTAAGAAGAAAACGTGTTAGGCCACCAGCATTAAGATAGAAAACGTGTTATGGCCACCAGCATTAAGAAGAAAACGTGTTATGGCCACCAAGCATTAGAAGAAACGTGTTATGGCCACCAGCATTAAGAAGAAACGTGTTATGGCCACCAGCATTAAGAAGAAAACGTGTTATGGCCACCAGCCATTAAGAAGAAAACGTTGTTGGCCACCAGCATTAGAAGAAACGTTGTTATGGCCACCAGCATTAGAAGAAAACGTGTTATGGCCACCAGCATTAAGAAGAAAACGTGTTATGGCCACCAGCATTAGAAGAAAACGTTGTTTGGCCACCAGCATTAAGAAGAAAACGTTTTTATGGCCACCAGCATTAAGAAGAAACGTGTTATGGCCACCAGCATTAAGAAGAAAACTGTTATGGCCACCAGCATTAAGAAGAAAACGTGTTATGGCCACCAGCCCTTAAGAAGAAAACGTGTTATGGCCACCAGCATTAAGAAGAAAACGTGTTATGGCCACCAGCATTAAGAAGAAAACGTGTTATGGCCACCAGCATTAAGAAGAAAACGTGTTATGGCCACCAGCATTAAGAAGAAAACGTTATGGCCACCAGCCATTAGAAGAAAACGTGTTATGGCACCAGCATTAAGAAGAAACGTGTTATGGCCACCACATTAGAAGAAAACGTGTTATGGCCACCAGCATTAGAAGAAAACGTGTTTGGCCACCAGCATTAAGAAGAAAACGTGTTATGGCCACCAGCATTAAGAAGAAAACGTGTTATGGCCACCAGCATTAAAAGGAAGGAAACTGGCTTAGGTCACCAAGGTCACTTAAGTCACCATGGAAGGAAACGTGTTGTGGCCACCATTATAAAGACTTGTGGTCACCACCATTATAAAGACTTGTGGTCACCAACATTATGAAGACTTGTTGTGGCCACCACCATTATGAAGACTTGTTGTGGCCACCACCATTATGAAGACTTATGGCCACCACCATTATGAAGACTTGTTGTGGCCACCACCATTATGAAGACTTGTTGTGGCCACCACCATTATGAAGACTTGTTGTGGCCACCACCATTATGAAGACTTGTTATGGCCACCATTATGAAGACTTGTGGCCACCACCATTATGAAGACTTGTTATGGCCACACCCTTATGAAGACTTTTTGTGGCCACCACCATTATGAAGACTTGTTGTGGCCACCACCATTATGAAGACTTGTTGTGGCCACCACCATTATGAAGACTTGTTGTGGCCACCACCATTATGAAGACTTGTTGTGGCCACCACCATTATGAAGACTTGTTGTGGCCACCACCATTATGAAGACTTGTTGTGGCCACCACCATTATGAAGACTTGTTGTGGCCACCACCATTATGAAGACTTGTTGTGGCCACCACCATTATGAAGACTTGTGGCCACCACCATTATGAAGACTTGTTATGGCCACCATTATGAAGACTTGTGGCCACCACCACTATGAAGACTTGTTATGGCCACCATTATGAAGACTTGTGGCCACCACCATTATGAAGACTTGTGGCCACCACCATTATGAAGACTTGTGGCCACGACCACTATGAAGACTTGTTATGGCCACCACCATTATGAAGACTTGTTGTGGCCACCACCATTATGAAGACTTGTTGTGGCCACCACCATTATGAAGACTTGTTGTGGCCACCACCATTATGAAGACTTGTGTGGCCACCACCATTATGAAGACTTGTTGTGGCCACCACCATTATGAAGACTTGTTGTGGCCACCACCATTAAATTGAAGGAAATCTGTTGGGACCGCCATCACTATAAAGAAGGAAACGTATTGGGGCCACTTTTAAAAAAGGAAATGTGTTGGTGCTATAGTAATCAGAGGAAAGAACGTGCTAGACTCATTGTTATAAATAAGAAGGAAACGTGTTGTGGCCACCAGTACCATAGAGAGAGAGAAACTGTGGCCCCAGATTATTCAACATCTTACCAGAAGATATCAGAAACACAGCTGGAACAAGTGTAGAAGTCTTCAAGAGAAAACTGGGTAAGTATCTTCACCAGGTGCCATATCATCCAGGCTGTGATGGATATGTGGGGCTGCGAACCACCAGCAGCAACAGCCTGGTTACCAAGCAAGCACCAGATGACCCTGGCCCATGGTCGGGCTCCGAGACTAGAAAGGCTCTCGAAACTCATCAAAGGCAAAGGTACCTGTGTGGGGACGTAATCAGATGCGTTCTCTCACAATACGAGAACTTGCTGACGTGAATACAGTCGTATGAGAATACAAGAATTTAAAAATACACTGCTGGTCTATCTCATGTTCTTAGTAACAGTGTTCTACCTACCTACCCGGAGAGTATTCCGGGGGTCAACGCCCCCGCGGCCCGGTCCATGACCAGGCGTCCCGGTGGTGATTATAAACATAGAATATGTATCACCGGTTAGTAGTCTCCACTTCTAACCCACACTATATCGCCTTGTAGGTTCGTTAAACACACCCATTATACCTTTACATTATTTCCTTATAGTATTGTCCTCTATAAAATACCCATTAGTTGGGATACCTCCTTTACCAACCAGTATTACCATCTTAATTATCCAGCAAGTGTACCTAATTACTATACACATGGGGACAGTAAAGATATCTGTGTTGCACATGTCTTATTCATCAACTTATCTGTATTGTATGTCTTTGATCTAATGATAAATGTCGCTTTAAGTTTCTTCTACTTTTTTTATCATTTCTAGGCCGAGATTGAGAATCTGATAAATGAGACTGTAGCAACAAAGATATCGGAGAGCAGCATCAGTGTGTTTAATGAGTGTCAGGTGGCTTCCTCCTGGCGTAGCTCGCAGGAGTCATTTGAAATACTTGAACTGCAATGAGTTTCAGAGAGGTTTGTGTCTTCGGTGTAAAAAGTTGTATCCACATCAGTACAACCGAATACGACTAAAGAAAAAAAATGTTTTAAAAAGACACGTGAGTAAACACCAGGACATGTTAGAAAACGTTTCGGTCCTGAGGCCTTGACACAGACATAGTGAGAACTCGCATTTTTGCCATTTTATTTTTCATATTTAGAGAATTCTTTAAATATCATTTTCGTATGGGTTTTTTTCCAGCGTGTCAGTGGCAACCTGCGTCACAGAGTCATGGGTTGCCATTGAGACCTTCTGCTTTGCCCCAGTGAATTTTCCCTCCTATCTGTTGCTATCTTGCAACGTTGCCTAGCTCCTGAAGACGCACTAGAGTGCGAAAGATCTTGAGCAAAAATTTTCCCTCATCATGTGGCTTGTATAATGGTTCCGAGATCAATGCCCTCCTTCCGCTACGGGCCAGTCTCAAACTACGCCTCCTAAATTGGAAATTAAATATTGCAAGCTTAATTATAATTAAAAAAGACGGGAAAGGAAAGATAAGTATATACTGAATGTATAGCTTGTAAAAGTCACCTTTCATCTTACGTGTTTGTCAGTTGAAGAATTGACCACGAACTTGATATTTTTTTTCTTTTTTGCAGATACAACTGCTGCTGTTTCTTGCAGAGTGTACTGCTCCTGTGGGTGTGACAGCAGTGTAAGTAATGCAGCGTATACTCACACATGTACATATTGATGGCAAGGTACACTCGTGTATCCTTGTGTGGGTTAGAGCTTATGTAAAACAATAACTTATAAGTTTCAAGAGGTTGAGTGATGTGTAATGAGAAGGGAACTGGCGAGAATTAAAGTTAATGGATAAGATACATGTGAATGCTGTGGTAACACTTAACTGTGAGGAAGGTGAGTGTACGCATGCCCAGAGGTGAACACTAAAGTGTCTTCCAGTGTTATCCTGTGTTAATGGTGGGGAGGGAGGGAGGGAGGGAGGGAAGTCTGGGGAGTAGTTACGTGGGGACTAGATGAGAGTAGTCCGAGTAGGAGTGGGAAAGGATAGAGTACCAGCCTGGGTGTTGGGGTGATGGTAGCCCCAAGTACGGGTGACGTTGTGGGTTATGGAAGAAAAACCTGCTGGGTGATGGGATGGTAGTTGGTTTAGTGAGATGGTTGGTGAGATGGGTGGTTGGAGGTAAAAGGGATGGTTGTAGGTTAAAAGAGCCGTTGTAGGTAAGTGGTGATAGGTGAGAGCTTGAAGATGGTACAGTAGTTGTGCTGTCAGAGTGAGCACAGTGTTGTATCTTCTCACGCAGCCTCTGAGGATTGGTGTGAACGTTCAGACAATCCTCTCACCACGACTGAGAAATTGTCACACTTGAATGTTTCCTGTGTTTACTCAGCCATCTCTTTGCCTGACATATCGTAGCCTTTTTTTTTTTTTTTGACTTGTAGTTAATTTTATTGTTTTGTAACCACTCCACGGAGGTTCCTTCATGCTGGTGAGAGGCTCTTTATCAAAGGAATTGTTGTGAGACCTCTACCCACTCTACCGGAGGTATCCCAGCGAGTGAGCACGTCTCCTGTATATCCCAGTGCTTAACAAAATAGGGAATAGCATATGAAGGTACAAATAAAAATGGGAACTATGGCTATAGTTTACTTAATAACATAAAAGGGCTAGAATACAACATATCCTGATGGAAATTTACACAATATAACAATTGACCTATGAGACTTATTACCAGGGGGAAGGGTAGATGTTATCAGTAACACGGACTAGTACTCACTCTTAATTCACCGACCAGCTGACCCGAGATTCCCAATGCGTGGTCCACTACACACGCGGCTGTCCAGAGCTCTCGCTCGACGGACCTGTCACCAACAACCTCTTTGCCCCGCTCTTCCATGGGCTTATATCGTAGTCAAAGTACCCCCTCCCCAATGGTGTATGTACCACGTGTTACGACCTGACGCCGAGCTCTGACGCTGTTAAGAACAAAAGACCTCAGACGTGGGCGTGACTACCCGACATTTGCTAAGGCAGGTGTGACCATATAATTAGGTCTCCCTAGAGACCTCACAAGCCCATCTGAACTGCATCACATTGTAGATCTGTTCTCTCTCTCTTCCTTACATCGACCCAGATTGCCTCTCATTTTCCTAGCGCTGTATTGACCCTAAATTTAATAATAAAGATTTACCTGGTTACCTGGAGGTTATTCCGGGGATCAACGCCCCCGCGGCCCGGTCCATGACCAGGCCTCCCGATGGATCAGGGCCTGATCAACTAGGCTGTTACTGCTGGCCGCACGCAGTCCAACGTACGAGCCACAGCCCGGCTGATCCGGCACTGACTTTAGGTATCTGTCCAGCTCTCTCTTGAAGGCAGCCAGGGGTTTATTGGTAATTCCCCTAATGCTTGATGGGAGGCTGTTGAACAGTTCTGGTGTTTTCCCTTAGTGTACCAATGGCGCCCCTACTTTTTATTGGGGGCATTTTGCATCGCCTGCCCAGTCTTTTACTTTCGTATTACCCAACCAACCTAGTGGAAACTTCCATAACTTGTGTTAACCTAGCATAAAGTAGAATTTGAAAAAAAAAATTAAGACACGGATGATGAGCACCACGTTTAAAAATGGAGGTTGTAAAAATGAGGCTAAGTTTGACACTGAGTGAGGAGCGAGTATCACTGGTGAGGACAGGAGCGCTGGCAAGCAGGTGTAACTCAGTGTGTTCACGCACACTGTGAACGAACACACACACACACACACACACACATTATATATATATATATATATATATATATATATATATATATATATATATAATATATAAAATATATATATATATATATATATATATATATATATGCGCAATAAGATCACAGTAAACAGGTGATTTCAGAATATGCAAAACAACCACTCTGAAAGAATAGAGAAATTCCAAGCGCTTTCGTGAGTAGTCACGAAAGCGCTTGGAATTTCTCTATTCTTTCAGAGTGGTTGTTTTGCATATATATATATATATATATATATATAATGTATCACCACTTAGGAGCCAGTATGGCTCCTAAGTGGTGATACTCTCTTAATATTTCTTGCCATTTTGTACCACGAAGCAGAATAAAATGGCAAGAAATGTTAAGAAAGTATCACCATTTTGGAGCCATGCAGAACTGGAATCAGTCAGTGGCAGACTCATCAGAGCCACAGATACGAACTCCAACAAGCAAATAGCACTGTATCATTTTTTTTTTTTTTTAGTGTTTGTAAGTGAACAAGGTCTCAAACTGGTGAAAAACAATAAAATACCTTTTATCAGTGGTCTTCTCACGGAGTGTTTGCAGCTTTCACAGACTTCCATAAGTCTTACTTTGATAAAATATGAATTTCAGGGTACAATCTATTTTGATGCGACCGACAAAACTGTCACCAAGGGAGGTCTGTAGAAAAATGGTTCAGAGAAACGACAAGTTGATAAATTAGATACATGTGCAGCACATAGGTATCTTTAATTTGGAAACGTTTCGCCACTATGTAGCAAAACTTTTCCACGATAAAGATACCCAACTGTTGCACATGTGACTAATTTATCAAGGAAGGTCTGTATGTTAGTCAATCATATGCACTGAATTACTGAACACCTCCCTCTTGATCTAGGGAATTGGTTCTGTGCTCCGGTTCCCTGAATCGAGTCTGAATACCTTCCATTCCCCCCCCCCCACATACGCTGTATAATCCTAGGGTTTAGTGCTCCCCCATGATTATAATATAATAATACTGAACACCGCTAATGATATAGTCGAAGTTTTGGCAGTTAAAATCGAAAATCAAAAAATACTTGTGCTTGTGTATAGACCACCAGTTATAACCTCCCAGCAGTTCAAGGACCAGATCTTGGAAATTGAACATCGTTTTCATAACCTATCCAACCCGTCCCCAAATATCCTGCTGCTCGGAGACTTCAGTTTGAGACATCTCAATGAAAGTCAGAAGCAAAGACTGTAATTATAGAGTCTCTGGAGCTATCTTGGAGGAACTCCTAAGCAACAGAATTATTAAACCTCAGTAATATATTCGCCTTAAGCCAACAGATTGCCAAACCGTCCAGACTGGGAGAAACCCCAATACCCTACATTTACGAGCTCTGCGGAGACCCAGTTGGGGACATAACGTCGAAGAGTGCAATATCAGACCACAATATAATCAAGGTACAAACCTACGTGCACAGAAACACGATTAGTCATGAGGACGATTTCAATAGATTCGATTATGACAAGAACAGCAACTGGGACCAAATAAATCGCGAACTTAGTGAGATACATTGGGATGATGACCACCCAAGATCTAAACCAGTTCCTTTTGTGTTAGAAGTATGCCACAGATACTTCTTTATGGGAAAGGAGAAAATGCATACTCTCTAGAGTAAGAGTGAGGGAGAGGAGCGCTTCCTCTACAGGCAAAGACGACGAATACCAGATATCCTCAAAGGCCGCAGATACTGAAGCATAAAGGGAAACTCCGGCTAGGGAAGTGGAGAAGAGAGAGAGAGGGGGGGGGAAGGGAATGGAAGGAGAGAGCAAGAACAATAAAAATGAAAAATTCAAATTACCACAGGGTGGACAATGAAAACTTTCAAAACAAGGGAAATAATGACATTGGTGACACTTTTCAAAATGCTAGTGCTCCCTCATATGGAATATTGTTCAGTGTTGACGGCCCCGTTCAGGGCTGGAGAATTATTAGTGCTGGAACAAATACAGATGTGATCGTTTATGGCCCGCATAGATCCAGTAGAGCATTTACACTATCGGGAATGCCGTAAAGTCTTAAATATGTACTCGCTGGAGCGGAGATAGAAATGTTAATATATACCTGGAAACTACTCGAGTAATTAAGTTTGTGCCGGATCAGCCGGGCTGTGGTCCGTTGGACTGTGTGGGGCCAGCAGTAACAGTCCGATTGATCAGGCCCTGATTTATTGGGAGGCCTGGTCGTGGACCAGTCCGCGGGGGCGTTGACCTTCAGAATACCCTCCAGGTAGACTCCAGGTAGAGGGCCTGGTCCTAAATCTGCTCACTGCCATAGCAACATACTGGAGCGAGAGATGTGTAAGGAATAACAAAAAAGGCACAATACCGTGACTGGAACAATACACAAATAACCCGCACATAAAAGAGAGAAGCTTACGACGACGTTTCGGTCCGACTTGGACTTTGTCAGTGGTCCAAGTCGGACCGAAACGTCGTCGTAAGCTTCTCTCTTTTATGTGCGGGTTATTTGTGTATGTGTAAGGAAGTGTAAACTATACCCAGTGAAAACAGGGGTGTGGTGAGCACAATATTATTAACATTTCGTGGCCCCCAGATTATTCAGCATCTTACCAGAAGATATCAGAAACACTGCAGGAAGAAGTGTAGACGTCAAGAGAAAATTGGACAAGTATCTTCACCAGGCTGTGATTGATATGTGGACCAGCTGGCCTCCAGCAAAAACAGCCTGGTTAACCAAGCTAGCACCAGACTAGCCTGGTCCATGGCCGGGCTCCGAGAATAGAAAGACGCTCGAAACTCATCAAAAGTTTATCAAAGGTACTAATATTAGACCCTTTTTTTAGGGTGCTGAATCTTCACTAATAGCAGAAGTGAAAGACAGGGGTCTCATGAGCACAGTACGAGAACCCTGTATCAATGTCCGTTGG